AGTAACACTACAACCTCTTCTCTGAATGCGCTAATTGCTTAGCCTGATTTACTAAAGTTCTTTAAGTGCTTTAGCTTTTAATGACTAGTTGAATATTTATGGAGGAAATGTAGTTAAGTGCCTTGGATCAAATGGACCTGATTATATTATTTTAACCCTCAGTAAACATGGTGTAAATTACAATATATTCATTGATCAGTGATACTTTGCCCTAAAAGTCACTGATAAATGTCAGGTCAGCCAAATTTGTATGGATAAATTTTACTTTTTATTTTTACATTTTGCGGAATATATATATATATACAAACAATACTTACCGTTGTGAACGCCCATGAGCCATGACTGTGACGGGAACGCTCTCTGGACCACCAGATATAAAAGCAGTCCTAGACTGTTATTTCACACAACGAGCAAATGGCGCCATGAACCATAATGGGACTACCGCACGTAGGTGTCAGGTAAGTTCCCCGTTAACAAGGATCCATATATTATTAACTCACTAAGCACGCGGACTTACATACATCAAACCAACCCGCCAGGGTTCAAACCTACGGCCCACGAGCCTATGACTGTGATATGGGGTAATCCCCTATTAGAGGTTCACGGCGCCATAAGCTCGTTGAACAGGCTTTGTGTGAAATATAACAGAGTCTAGGACTGCTTTTAGTATCCAAGTGGTCCAGTAGGTAGCATTCCTCGGTCACAGTCATGGGCTCATGGGCCATGGGTTCGAATCCTGGTGGGTTGAGGTGTTGATTATATGTAGAAGTCCGCGTGCTTTAGTGGGCTAATGAAATATATATGGATCCTCGTGTTTCAAAGCCGGATTTGGTAAAACGTTATTCTGACCACCTACGTGATACGGGTAGTCCCCATTAGAGGTTCACGGCACCATAAGCTCGTTGAACAGGCTTTGTGTGAAATATAACAGAGTCTAGGACTGTTTTTAGGATCCTGGTGGTCCAGTAGGTAGCATTCCCCGGTCACAGTCATGGGCTCGTGGGCCGTGGGTTCGAATCCTGGCGGGTTGAGGTGTTGATTTTATATATATATATATATATATATATATATATATATATATATATATATATATATATATATATATATATAAATTTATATATATATATATATATATATATATATATATATATATATATATATATATATATATATAAATTTATATATATATATATATATATATATATATATATATATATATATATATATTTATATTCTCCTCACTAGTCTGGAATCGAACCCCGAACCTCAGCGCGTGACAGGGCCCACTACCATCACGCCACAAGGAGTGTACTCAATTCTTGTCCTGCTCACCCTCTGCCTCTTGACTTTAACATTAACAGCATGCCCTTGGAACTATGTAGCTCCTATATATATCTCTTAGAATTTGTGTGAATAATGCAAACTTTGTCGGCAACCTTCGTCCCAAGCTAATGCAGCGCATTAAACCCCACAAAACCCTTGTTGGCAAGGGTTATGGAATTAGCATCACCTATGCTCGTACTTTCTATCTTCACTTCATTCGTTCTGTAGTTGACTATCATGCTCTCCATCTTGTGACTATTCCGCCTAAACAACTCCACAGCCTTGAGGTAGTGCAAAATGAAGCCATGCGCATCATTCTAGGATGCCCAAAATCAACCAGAATTGCAAATATGAGGAAAGAGCTCGGACTGCCCTCTCTATCTGAGAGGATAGCTCTATTTAATATCATGTTTTCTGTTAAAGTTTTGAAGAACACTGGTCCGGCTCCTTGCTTATCTTCTGCGATTCCAGGTCTGTTCTCGACGGGATCGCATTTGGATCAGGGAAAAATAAGGACCTCGTCCTCCGAATACGAGGGTTAACATCCACACTTCAGGATGCTGGCCGTCCTGTGACATTTCTATGGATTCCCAGTCATGTCGGTATCTTGGGGAATGAGGCAGCAGATGGCCTTGCCAAGACTGGCTGCAACAAGGGCACACCAGACTACGTTGTTCCTCGAACACTTTTACAGCTTAGGACCCAAATTTGCCGCAAACAGAGAGAAACCCGGGAAGCAGCCATCCCCCTGGACTCCCAGCCCACCTGGTACGATGTCTTCCCTAAACTTCCTGACCTCTCGTATGTCTATGGGAGAGGGTCGCGGAAAAGGGACGTGATTGCTGCCCGTATCATCATTGGGTATGACTTTGCTTGGGAGATTGGTATCCCCGCATCCCCTGAGCAACGCTCTTGTGCATTATGCAGAAGACCCGACAGCCGCACCCTTATCCACTACCTCCAAAGATGTCCCCACACACAACGCTTCCTTGACGCCTGCTGGACCACCACTCCACGACCCCCTGACGGAGACACGATGATCCTCCCCATACTGGCCAGATACTATGTAAATAATATTGATAATGTGTTAAAGGAATATCCATCCTTCCATAGGCTTTAGTAATCCCCTTTATAATATTTATCTATATATATAAAGTTGTAGCCTCTGTCTGTTTGTTCACGAACTTCTCCTAGGGTTTTGGAGATAGACCCCCATAACCATATATATTCTGAAACTACATTACCCAGGGTACTTGGATAAGTATATTTCATTTTGATCAAAGGGGGTCCCCGGGGAGCACAAACCCCCCACTGAAAAATATTTTCCCTTCGATTTAAACGAAATTTAAACCATAGGTAAATGACCGGAAATGATGCCTATTCACAAAATATCAGCAAATTTCAATAATATTAAGACACCCTAATGGGGGCTAAACCCCCCTATATTGAAAATTTTGGAAGCCCATAACTTGAGTATTGGAACCTCTATTATCCCGGGCTTTTTCTATTAATTAAACGTAAAACAACAACAAAAATCACCTCTCTTTATAGAAAAATTTGGCAAATTTAGACATTTTATCTATGACAAAACATCACTAGAATTATGGCAAGAAAAATTATTAGTTAATGCCTCTACTTTTTTAACATTTTCATTTATTTATTTTTTTTCAGACATCCATTATGCCACGGAAAAGAAAGTCCAGTTATGCAAATACTCCACATGCACAAAAGATGAGGCTTCGTCGTCAATATGAAAGCTGTGATGCAAGGGAAGAACGACTTTCTAGGCAAAGACAGAGGCAAACAGAGTCTCGGCAAAATGAAACCTTGGGTGAGCATCAAGAAAGACAGGAGCAAGATAGATTTCGCCATATAGTTGCAAGAAGAAATGAGTCTGAAGAAGACAGACAACAGCGTTTGATTGCTGATACATTTCGCCATATGGTTGCAAGAAGAAATGAGTCTGAAGAAGAGAGACAACAGCGTTTGATTGCTGATAGAAACAGATATCAAAATTTAAGACAACGTGAGATTCAAAATGCTAAACGTTCTGCATTACTGTATGACAAAAATGACCCATGTAACAAGGCTGCAATTGGAGAAATGACCAAACTTTGTCAGTGTGGCGCTTAGAAATTTGCTGTGGAAATGGAAAGGTTACACTGGATCAATTTCCACCCCTGCCTTAGTTATTTGAAGAACTGTTCACTGGGGAAAGTCAATTCAGCAAACACTTTTTGTCAAGACTCACGGAGTACAACTCTCTGTTTGCCATGACCAGCTTTGGTCACAAAGATGCATCTGTCCAAGGTAAGAATCCAAGGTCAAATTTACCATCAACTTGGGTCACTGATGCCTCCTGAAGATAGAAGAGCAAGATACATTCAAGTTTACTTTTTGGACACTTTGGAAGATCAACTGAGAGCAAGAGGAGAGCATCAAAACTTGAATGCTGATATATTGGAGAGAATTACAGCCTGGTTAAATGAAAATAATCATTATGTGAGGGAGCTAAAGACTGCGCTAGAGCAAGTACGGCAAGGAAACATAAATGACAAGAAAATTGTAATTTGGGAAAATAAGCGTGCCCAGGGAGAGCATGCTCGGCGTTTTAATGCACCAACAGGGGCTGAAGTTGCAATTTTAATGTGAAATGAGCCTACAGAAAGTAGAGATATTGTTCTTCAGTTGAAACAAGGTGGATTGAGGAGAATTTCAGAGCTACATCGATCCTATGATCCTTTGATGTATCCATTGTTTTTTTCCATATGGAACAGACGGCTACCACATATATTTGCAAGGGAGAAATGGTCGGAAAGTCACACAGTTGCAGTTTTACTCTTTCCATATTATGTGCTTGGAAGGCGACTCTTCCAGTAATTCTTGGTGGATGCATCCTGCAAAATAGAAACTGAAAGAACAGCAAAGTCTCCGTGCTGAAAATTACTCAGATTTACGTGATAGTCTGCTTGCTGCTGATGGAGATCCAAATCAAGTTGGTCGTCGCATTGTGCTTCCAGCGACCTATACTGGTGGTCCTCGATACCTTCATGAGAAAAGGTCAGATGCGATGGCCTTTGTGAGACACTACGGAAGAGCAGATTACTTTAAATTATCACTATGACATGTAATCCACGTTGGCCCGAAATTGTTGACAATTTGGCTCCCGCAGCAAGGCGCGGGTAATTCGGCTAGTACTGTATATACTTGTCACACTTGCCAGCTGCTTCTGGTGGTATTGTACAGGGGTACCGAGTGACAGCACTAGGATCCCGCTTCCTCTATCAAGGAATAAGCTATTGAAAGTAAAAATTGAACAATGGTCCCCAAACTACAGCTCAAACTGAGTTGATGTTCTATCTAAGTAATCCCGATTATCTCGCTAACCTTCCACAAAAGACTCTCTTTGGGGCGTGGCTTCATAAAAGTGTTGCAGATCTCTTGAAACTGAATGTCCCAATCACCCCAGACGAACCCATTAATGCCATTCCTCCTTGGCTGGATATACCAGTTCCTATAAATTACACTCCTGTTGGTAGTAAGCAAATGTTAAACACCGATATGATGAGATGTGTCACACTAAAAACTATTAACAGACACATAGAGAGTATTAAATCAAGTGAATGTTATGCGTTTACTGATGGTTCTGTGTAGACAAACACAGGTAGAACAGGCTGTGCAATTGTAATATATAAAGAAAAAGAGATGATAGTGTCAAACAAGCAAAGGCTGAACAACTGGGTCAGCACAAAACAAACTGAACTAACTGGAATCTACTTAGCCACAGACTACCTTAAAGAAAATGGAGGTGGGGTGATATTCTGTGACTCTGAAAGTGCTTTGAAATCTATGAACAGCCCGTCAGGTTCTATGTCTAAAGTTGTATGTGATATTAAAAGAAATGTGATAACTGCCAATGAGAACAACTCTCGTATCGAATTTGTGTGGATTCCGTCCCATGTTGGAATTAGGTATCATGACCATGCTGATAGACTAGCCAATGAGGCATGTAAGAAA